GCCTGGCCCAACCCTCCCCCCCGCCAGCCCATTCAGAGTCAGTGAGGGGCCAACACCAGCCCCCACGGGGACTCAGGGCAGCCCCCCTTCCCCCTGGCTTCAACACGCCTGCCTCGCAAGAACCTCTGCCAGCGTGCTCTGCCCCCATGCTCATGGCTGCCCCCTAGGGGACAGGCACTTACTGCAAGGGCAGGTCGTTGTGCTCCTGGGGCAGGAACTTGTAGAGAGCCACGTAGGAGTACATGGGGGAGACGTCCTTCCGCGAGGAGCCCCCGGCAGCCTGCAGCGACGGAGAGCGAGGGCCCCGAGCCCAGAGTCACAGCCGGCCAGGGACAGGCCCGAGCTAGACTCACGTTCCCCACGGCCTGCGCCCCATAGCCCACGGGCCGCGCCCCATCGCCCATGGTCCGCACCCCAGCCCCATGCCCCAGCCCTATGGCCTGCGCCCCATCGCCCACAGCCACTCACTCCATCGCCCACGTCCCGCGCCCATCGCCCACTCACCCCATCGCCCACGGGCCGTGCCCCATCGCCCATGGTCCGCACCCCAGTCCCATGCTCCAGCCCTATGGCCCGCGCCCCATCGCCCACAGCCACTCGCCCCATCGCCTGTGGCCACTCGCCCCATCGCCCGCGGCCAGCGCCCTCCCACGCCCCAGCCCCATCGCCTACACCTGTACACTCCAGCCCCATTGCCTAGGGCCCGCGCCCCATCCCCACCCACACGCCCTGGGGCAGGGAGCTGGTCGGGCCGTCCTTTGGGGTCCGAGGGCACCTCAGGGAAGCAGGGGATCCCCACCCCAGGGGCAAGTGGAAGAAGTCAGGGCTGCAAGGAACAGGAGTGGAGCTGACTCAGAGTCAGTTGAAGGAGCCAGTCGTGGCCCGGGGGGAGGGTCTGGGGGCAGCTCAATGCAGCTGGTGGGCTTTAAGGGGGGTCTCAGGTGACACTGGAGCCAGCTCGGGGCAGCGGGAGGACGTGGGACGGGGCGGCGGGGACACGGGAGCCAGCTCGGGGCAGCGGGAGGACGTGGGACGGGGCGGTGGGGACACGGGAGCCGGCTCGGGGCAGCGGGAGGACGTGGCAGCGGGGACACGGGAGCCGGCTCGGAGCAGCGGAGGCGCCTGGGGAGCGACTGTGGGGGAAGGAGGCCGGGGTTAGCTATGGGGGGACCTGGGGGGCAGCTCACCTGCTGCTCAGGGCTCTTCTCCTCTGATCCGGGACTTTCGCCCTCGGGAGGGGCCATGAATGCTGAGAGAGATGGAGACAATCAGCCAGGCTGGCTCCCCCAACAGCCCCACGTCCCCGCCCCCCCGGCCAGGGCCCTGGAGGGGGGGAGCCGGGCGTGGGCTCTATTAAAGGGACCGCAGCCCCCCCGCCCCATACCCCTCCCCACGCTTACCGCTGTCACCGTGGCTCTCCTCCGCGCTGCCGTCTGCGTCCTCCCCGGCCTCGTCCTTCTCATTCTAGGGAAGACGGAGACACCGGGGGTTGGGCGGAGACTGGATGGGCTGTTCCAGCACCGCCCCCGCACCTCCCCAGTGCCAGCTGCACCCCTCTCCCCCAGGAATCTCCCATCCCCGAGTGCCGTCCCCGCCCTCCTCTAGAGGGTCCAGCTGAATGCATGTCGCCCTCGCCCACCCCAGAGTCAGGATGGGCTGTAATGAGGGCCAAGGCGGATTCTCTCTGGAGGCTGCTGGGCGCAGACAGACCCTGCGTGTCTCTCTGGCTCCCAGCCTATGCTGCCCAGTGGCGCCGCATGGTGGGGGCTCCGTGACATGCCCGGGCTCGGCTCGGTGCCCCCGTCCTGCCCTGGCACATACCAGGCTCCTGGTGGGCGACTCCGAGGTGCTGCTGAAGCTGGAGCGGTTCAGGTGAGCCAGCGAGGTGCCGTAGCGCAGTGTCTCGTAGATGGGATCCACCCTCCCGCTGGGGCCTGCGGAGACGGGGTGGGGTCAGGGATGCCAAGCCAGCCTGTAACCCAACCATGTGCTGGGAGACCCTGCACCAGGGGGAGGAGCTTACTACATAAGAGGGAGGAGCTTGTGACATAAGGGGTGCGGCTTAACACTGGTGGTCCTAGGATCCCCTTAACCCTTTCTCCTTGCAAGGGCTGTAATTAGGGTGACCAGATGTTCCAATTTTATAGGGGCAAGTCCAATATTTGGGGCTTTGTCTTATATAGGTGCCTATTACCCCTCCACCCCCATCCCGATTTTTTACCCTTGCTATCTGGTCACCCTCGCTGTAATCCCCCTCCCTTCCCCCCCAAAGGGATCAGTAGCCCAAGAACATCCCTGGGGTCCCCCCTACTGCTCCAGCACCACCCACAGAGACCTCTCCCCAGGGCCAGTCACGCCCCCCTGCTGCAGCTGGCATTTGGTAGATCCTGATAAAGGGAACCTGAGTATTCGTATGGCTCAAGACCTCCCCACCCCGCAACTACTCCAGTGGGACGGGGGTGGGGTGGGGTCTCACCTGCAGGGGGTGACTCCTTGGAGGTGCTCTGCTGATGCTCCTGCACTAGGAGGGGGGAGCTGAAGTTGCGCCGGAAGGAGGTGGCCTGGCAGGAAAGGAAGGAAAGAGGGAGAGAAATGTAACCGGGTCTGGGGATGGCGGACAAGCCCCTCAGTCTGCCTGTGGCCCCCTAGCCAGCGGGGCACCCACCCACCCCACTGCTGTGGTAGCCCAGACTCAGGCACCTCCAGACCAGCCTCACTTCCCCCCGCCCCCCGAGGGGCCAGATAGATACAACCAGGCACACAGGGGCAACAGTTTGACTAGGAGTCAGGACTTGAGCTCCCAGAGCAAAACTCCTGGCCCAGCTGAGCCACTGCAGCACCCCGCGCTTGGCAAGCAGCGGTGCCAGCAGGGGGCGGTAGCGTTCCGGGTCTGTAGAAGTGCACGTGTGTGATGTTCCGGCCAGCAGAGGGCAGTGGCGTGCACCCAGCTATCCTCCCGCCAGGGACAGAGGAGGGTGATGTTGTGTGTCGTCCCCCCCCTCCCCGGGACCAGCTCGGCGGGCGCTTACCGTCTTGCCGGGACACTGCTGGTGCGAGACCTCCTCCGAGCACCACAGGTGCACGCTAACCTTGCACGTTTTACACCGCAGGCCTTGCTTCGAATTGCCTGCAACACACCAAGCACGCACAGGGGGTGGGTGAGAGAGGCCCCAGCCCCGGGGGTGGGGATGGGGCAGGGGAAGGATGTAGAAAATCCCCCATGGGGTCTCACTATGGGAGAGGCACAAAAGCAACCAGGATTCGGAGCAGAGCCAGACCTTGGGGTGACACCCGGGAAGGAAAGGGCAGGATCGGAGTCCTGTGTACATTGCGGGGCGGGTGGGGAGGGGGGGTGTCAGAAAGAGCCCCTCCCAGAGGGGAACCTCTCTGCAAGCTCAAGGAGGGTGAGGAATGAAGCCCAGAGCTGGAATAGCCGGGGGGCTTCAGGGCAGGATTGAGGGGCATCAGCAGATCTGGGTGGGGATGGGGGAGCCCAGGCTGGGAAAGCAGGGGGCTGGGATCGAGGGGCAGAGGCGGAGCTGGGTGGGGATGGGGGTGCCCAGGCTGGGAAAGCAGGGGGCTGTGGGCTGGGATCAAGGGGCAGAGGCGGAGCTGGGTGGGGATGCGGGTGCCCAGGCTGGGAAAGCAGGGGGCTGTGGGCTGGGATCGAGGGGCGGAGGCGGAGCTGGGTGGGGATGCGGGTGCCCAGGCTGGGAAAGCAGGGGGCTGTGGGCTGGGATCGAGGGGCGGAGGCGGAGCTGGGTGGGGATGGGGGTGCCCAGGCTGGGAAAGCAGGGGGCTGCGGGTTGGGATCAGGGGCATCGGCCGAGGCCGGAGTAGCAGCACGTCCCTTGGTTAGTTCGCCTGCCCTGGGAACGGGGTCCCCGCGGCACCCACCTACGATGAGCTGGTGGCACATCTCACACGGGCTGTGCTTCTTGAAGACGTGCTCCTGGAAGCTGTGCGTTCGCATGGGCTTGAGGGGCGCCAGGGCCCGGTGGCAGGCGATGGGCGAGTGCTCGGCCCGGGGCAGGACGGCCTCGGTGGGCATCGGCGGGGGGGATGGGGGCGGCAAGGGCGTCGGAGGGCTCAGAAGCACCTCGCAGGGGAGTTTGAGCTCGCTGTTGGATCGCAGGAAGAAGTTCTCCACGCTCTTGCTACGCAGGATGGTCTTGAGGGACAGCGAGCGCTTCAGCCTCTGCATCTGGGGGGGAAGCAGAGCAGAGACCCAAGGAGCGTCACGAGGCGGGGGCAGCACCATGCACAGGGGCTCTGACTGCTGCCCCCACCCCACCTCCACCCTGAGCCCAGCATCTCAGCCCAACTCCCTCTCTCTGCGACCCCGCTCCCGGGGCTGCGTCCTGCCAGGCTCCCCCGGGAACAGGCCCCAGGGGCGTCGCTGCCCAGCTGGTAAACACTCAAGAGGGGGTGTGAATGGCCTGGAGCAGTTGGGGGGTGCTGGAAATGGGCCATGGAGCCTTCCCCCATGCGGGCCCCAGCCCATCTGACAGAAGGGGGGAACCGCAGGGTCAGGGGGTGTCTATGTCCCATCCCAGGCACCCCCAGCACCACAGCTGGGCCAGTCGCCCCCCTTGTTGGCTGGGGAGTAAATGGGCCATGGAGGCCAAGCTCGCTGGGGGGGGGTCCTTGTGCTGAGGCACATAGGCGGGTGGTGGTGGTGGTGGGGGAAATATGTGCCAGCCTTAGGCACCGGGCCATGGAGCCCACCAGGGCTGTGCAGAGTCGTCGTCCCCCCCCGCTTTGAGCTACTGATCCAGTAACCCCGGGGGGGTGGGGGGGGAGGGCACCGACCTCCAGCCACGGCTCTGAATCCTGCTCTCCGGCCCGGAATCCCCCCCGCCAGCCTCCGGCGGCAAAAGCCGTAATGTGGGTTTGAAGATGTTTTTGTTGAATCTGTTAATCCCCCTCCCCCGCAGAGCCAGCACGAGGGCAGGGGGAGGAGGGCTGGGGGGCAAAAGAAACCCCACGTGGTGATGTTGGGGAGGCGCCAGCCCTCCCTCCGCTGCAAAGGCCTCTCCCTTCCCCCCTCCACAGAGGAATGGGTTAGCAGGTCCTGCCTCCCCGGCTTGCACCCCTCAGTTCCCATCCCCTACCCCACCCCGTCCCCCTCAGCCCCCTGCTCGCGAGGTACAGCTGATCTACGTAGGGCTGCAGGGACCCCCCGCCCCAGCATCTGCCCATGGGCCAGCCGGGATCTCAGCGCTTCCTGCACCCCAGAGCAGGCCAGGGACTCAGCCCCACGCATTTCCCACGCCGGCTGGGGCTCTCGCCTCTCTGGGAGCCGAGGCAGGTGCAGAGCCAGGATCCAGCTCTGAACCTTTAGGAGACCGGCTGTACCTGCCAGGGATAAGGCAATCCCACCGATAGCCCCACCCCCACCCATAGCTCCACCCCCACATCCCATAGCCACACCCCCATAGCTTCCACTGGCTCCTCCCTTTTTCATCTCAACCAAGGGTTAAAACCCTTTGGGGCACTAATATTATCACTCATAGCCCCACCTCCTCCCCTTAGCCACACCCACTTCCCATGGCCACACCTCCACCCCTTAGCCACACCCACTTCCCATGGCCACACCTCCACCCTTTAGCCAATGGCTCCTTCCTTTCCCATATGCCTTTTCCCAACCCCACTATGGGTATGTCTACACTACAGGATTAATCCGAATTTAGATAATTCGAATTTGGGAAACAGGTTGTATAAATTCGATTGTGCGCGGCCACACTAAGCACATTAATTCGGTTTTTAACCACATTAATTCGGTGGTGTGCGGCCACACTACCCCATTAATTTAAACACAGTAATTCGGTGGTGTGCGGCCACACTAACCCTAATTCGAATTAACAAAATCGATTTAGGCTCTACTCCGCTCGTCGAGGTGGAGTACAGAAATCGATTTTAAGTGCCCTTTAATTCGAATTAACTGGCTCTGTAGTGTGGACGGGTGAAGGGTTAATTCGGATTAACGCAGCTAAATCCGAATTAAAGTCGTAGTGTAGACCAGGCCTATGACAGCCTCACTCCTCCCCCCACACACATCCCTTGGGGTGCAGGATCTCCCCAGCCCAGTGACTGCTCTTCCCACAGCGACACAGGCCCCGAGTCTCCTGTCTCTCCCCAGCACGTCTGCCCCGGAGGCCGCTCCGGGCTGCACGTGGGTCCCCAACCCACGGGATAATAAACCAGGAGAGACACCAAGCACAAGGCGATTAGCCCCAGACAGGACCTGACACACACACAGAGCCCGGGGCTGCCGAGGCCCCAGCTCCGGAGCTAATCGCCTGGAAGCCTGGTGGGAATCCAGCTGTTCCGGTTCTGGCTGAGCCCTCGCTCCCCGGGGCCCTGTCTGAATGGGGATCGAGGGACCCGGTGTGGAGATCACCCGCTCGCCCGCAGCATCACGGGATCTGGGGTGCAAGCAGCCAGCGAGGGGGGAGGCGCAGGACTGGGAGTCAGGACTCCCACCCAAGGAACAGCCAGCGTGAAGAGCACACGCTCTAGCCCTGCAGGACTGTCCCCCCATCTGTGTGACAGCACAGACTTCGCAGGCTAACCTCACCTGTGTCTGGTAAGTGCTTTGAACCCCCGGCCACACCCCAAGGCAGGCGCCACATGGGGCATCACGTCACTGTCGGCACAGTTCTGGATCATGCTGTTGCCTTGCTGCGTGCTGTGTCGGGGGAGACCCCTCCATGAGCCGAGCCCTGCGCCATTTGAGCTAAGGGGGAATCCCCATGAGCTGCTGCCAGTACAGGGCTCGTGACACACAGTTGAGCAGTGCTGATCCTGTCGGGTGGGGGTTACTGGGGGCTCAGACACAACTGCCAGCTCAATACAATAGACAGGCCCTTTCCTAGCCTGCTGCCACAGGATAACAAGCCAGACACAGCCCCAGCGGCTGAAGCAAGGGCAACATGAAATAATCCCTCGCTGGGGCTGAGGTTTCAGACTGGCTTCGAATGAGCCTGGCACCCAGATCCATCCCGCCACTGACTCGGAGACACGGTCTCTTGTCCTTCATTTATTCAAGGTCTGGCACAGTCCCTGGTATGGGCTTGGCAGCGCTGCTGCAATGGCCCCCGGGGACGCCAGAGCCCACGTCTGCCTCGGCCACGCCCGCTCATACCCAGAGACCCTGGGGCTCTGCAGAGGAGGTGCTGGAGCTCCAAGGCTGTGTGCGTGGGTGCTGCGACAGGGATCTTCGGGGCAGGGGGTCCCAGCGCCTGTCACCCCCCAGAGGCAGGCCCGGGCTGTTCTCTGCCCGCCCTGGCCAGCATGGGGCTGCAGGGCAGGGCGCTCGGCTCGGTGGGGGAATCGCGCTGGGAACAAGGGAGAGGCTGGTGACCACCCCCGCAAAGGAGCTGCGGGGCCAGGCTTTGGGACAGGAAGGCGCGAGGATCGCAGGATGCCCAGGGGGACGGGGAGCCGCCAGGCTAACCTGGCACAGCCACGATTTCTGGGCTATTTCAGAGTCCCCCGCCCGGCTCACCGAATCTCAGCTGTGCCAGGGAGCCTCCGAGGGAGGGTCCCCTCTCACCCCCCATGACCACCAGAGCCACATAAGGGGCTGCGTCACCTGGTCAAAGCAAGGCAAAGGGCAGCAGGACTCCTGGGTTCACGTCCCAGCTCCGTGGCTGTTTTGCTGGGGATCTGGAGCAAGTCCCTTCCCCCCACTCAGTGCCTCAGTTTCCCCATCCATGAGATGAGTGAGGAGCTTTGCAAAGCACCCTTGAGAACGGACCAGAGTTACAGTCGACATGCCCCGGAATTCATCCCGGCACAGCTCCCGGGGAGGCACAGAACCCAGCACGCAGATGGGAACAACTGGCTGAGTTTGCAGGGCCATGCACTCAGCTCGATGGCATTTCTCCGTCTGCCACACACTAGTTCTTGACCGCTGCATCTGGTCAATTCCAAAATCGCAGGCAATGTTCCAGGCATCTGTGGCCACACCCCTGTTGATTTTGGGGGGACAGAAGAAAACCAAAAGGGAGAGCGTGGGGGACACATGGAGCTCCTGCCGCCTGACAAGCACAGACACAAGCACCTCAGCTCGGCTCATCCTCCCAAGAGTCTAGCAAGAGCTGACACCCTGAATGATTTACCCCTCCCCCAAATCATAATGGGGCACATGGGGGGAGGGATTGGGGGCACGCACAAAGGGCCCCTGCCAGGGGAGGGGAGAAGATTGGGAGAGGGGGGCAGACAGAGCCCCGGCATGGGTGGGAAGGGGGAAATGGAAGGCGTGGGGGGAACATACAGAGCCCCCCCCGGTCACCCAGCACTCCCAGCCCCCCTCCCAGCTCCCTCAGCCCTGAGGTACATCCTGGCGGAGCTCACACACAGAGAGATTTCAGGATGCGGGGGGGGGCCAGGGGCACCCCTCCCCCCAGGGCAATATGCTTTGGGGACAGATCAGGAGCTCCCCAAGGGCACAAGGCAGGGGGCAGCTCTTGGCTGAAATGGGGGGGTCTCTCTTTCCCGTGCAGTGACCCCCCCACTCTCCCCATCTCCCTCCCTCTCTGCTAGCTGGAGCTCTGTGCTCCCTCCCCGTCCCTGGGGGGCAAAGCAGCTGTGGGGTGGGCAGGTGGCCCGTGTGCCAGCTGAGTCAGAGGGCACTGCCAGCCCACGAGAGGCGGGTGGGCAGGCCCGGGGGTCTGCTCCGTCACTGTCTCCAGACGGCCCCGGTCCCAACTCGGGGGGGGCGTTGGCAGCAGCGGGCAGGGTGCCCGGGAGAATGCTCTCAGGCAGGATAATGGCATGTCGCTTGGCTGGCATCCCGGTCCCTCCTCGGGGAACGAAAGGTGATTAACCACGAGCACAGGGACTCGTCAAGAGATCTTAATTAGACTGGAGCGGGGGGAGATGCCAGCCTGGGAAGGGGAGGGGTGAATGCCTCCTGCCCCCCCCAACCCCAGGCTCTGCTGATGCCCCCCCATCCCGACCCTCGTTCACCCCCCCTTCCTGCTCCCCTTTGGGGCCTGCCCGTTTGATGGGACCATGGACTGGATCCTCAGCTGGCGTGAACAGACCCCACTGGAGTCGGGCTCATTCCCACCCGCCCAGCAGCCGGTCACGGGCACCCATGCAGGATTCTGCCCCCCGCCCCTGGCCCCCCCCCCCCCCCCCCCCCCCCCAGCCTCCATCAGAGAGCATCTCTCCCAGCCTGGATCCTAGATCCCC